CCTGGGGCCAGCAATAATGGAGAGCCCTTGCTATCTGCTGGCCTGAAGAGGCAGAGAGAGGGCAGTTACTGGAATCCAGCAAAAGCTGCAGCTGTGGAACAGATAGCTGTTAGGAGCCATGGCCTTTAGTAGAGAAATGCAGCCTTTACCAGCAGAGAGGGAGCTGGGAAATCAAAATCCCCATCTCACTCTCCTCTCATCCTCTCTATTTTTAATCAAACCAATTAAAAAAATTTTAGAGACACGGTCTCACTCTGTCACCCACGCTGGAGTGCAGTGCTGTGATTATAGATCACTGTAACCTCGAATTCCTGGGCTTAAGCGATCCTCTGGCCTCAGCCGCCTGAGAAGCTGGGACTACAGGCATGCACCACCATGCCCAGCTAATGTTTTTTATTTTTGTAGAGATGGGGTCTTGTTATGTTGCCCAGGCTTGTCTCAAAGTCCTGTCTCAAGCGATCTTGCTGCCTCAGCCTTCTAAATGTGCTGGGATCCTCCCATCCTCTGATCACCCACTGGCTCCTCTCATTGTCTGAAACCTCCCAGAGGCCACAGTGCAAGGGAGCCCATTATATGGTCCATAAAGGTCACTCTTGGGGAACAAATCAGGGTGGACAGCAGAAATGCAGGGTCAACCCGGGAATATCCACACATGTATATCTATCTTCTTACTGATAATACCAGCTAATAATAATATTGGTCTATGAGTCCAGTTGCCCTAGAAAACAGGCCTAGGCAAAGCCTGCATGCTTATGCTTAGTTGGGAGGTGCAATCCCAGGGTGGCAAGACTGAGGGAAAATGAGAAGTGAGCAGGAAGAGGGAAAATGCAAATTCAGCCACCCAACAACGGACTGGACTCAATTGATAAACCTGCTAGCCTTCACCCGTCCACAGGAAACGATGGAGGTAAATTGAGTCTTCACTTCAGACTTCTTAACAATCAGAGCCTCCTCAGCCATTTGTTTAACTTGCTGCTTGAGTAGCTATTTGCCCTTCAAAGGATAAATAACCAATTGTTTGACAAAAACTCAGAAAAATGAGGTAATGGGCAAAGGTAGGAAAGAAGAGAGTGCAGGTGTCATTAACGCAAAACATGCATGCCCTGGAGACCCTCACTGATACATTGCTTGCTCCAATTTAGCGGTTAATAAACATTTTGGAGCTGGGTGTGGTGGTTCACGCCAATAATCCCAGCACTTTGGGAGGCCGAGGCAGGTAGATCCTGAGGTCAGGAGTTCAAGACCAGCAGCCTGGCCAACATGGTGAAACCCTATATCTCTACTCAAAAAAATTAGC